TTAGAAATATTGTATTAAATAGCAAAAAAGGATGTTGTAAATATTTTTCTATGTATCTACAGCAGCAGGACATAATAGATTATTATATGTATCAATTATTTTGCAAAGTTATAACTTGATCAATTGATACTTTTTATGTTGCTCATATGATAATTGTGATAAATCAATGAATCACCATCTGTGATCGTTGAGATCTTGAATGTAAATTTTTATTTGTGTAAAAATGAGAAACTGCTAATGTCGATCAGCGTCTGTAATTTCTGTTGTTAAGGTCTGTAACGTGGAGAAAAGCTAAAAAAAACTTCGGTCTAGAACTTACACTTACTGTTTTCTTGGAAAATATATGTAACTTCCACAAAACATTGAACAGCTGTTAAATATAGAAGATAGAATACTGAGACGAAACAAAACCTATTCTACAAATTCAATGAAAATGTCTTTTTAAGAATGAATACTCGTACATTGTTGGATGATTCTTGAGAATTGAATGAGAATCAAAGATTAGACTTATTATTGCCTAGTCGAAAATTTGTATCGATATTGATTTTATTTTTGATAAGATTTTTTTTTTGGATAGTTTTATCTTTAATAACGTAATTCCTATCACAAGCACCTTGAAATGAGAGCAAAATTGATAATAGTACTACGATCGTCTATGTAAGAATGCTGGTACTCTTGTTGAACACTGCGGATAATTTGTTCTGGTGGGCATACAACTTTCACAACTTCTACAATAATAACATTCCAAAAAAAAACCGATCTTTGATTTTGACTTACTCGACTATACTTATCAAGAACATGCATAGTAAATTCTCGCCCATTGATACAATAAATACGTTCAAATAAATTCGATTCTTATTTAACATAAAACTAATACTTATTATTTAAGGCTACAAATAGTTTGCTAAGTAAAAATATTGAACGCTCAGTTAATTAAACGTTTCTCAGTAAAAATATATTTGCTAAGTTTATTAATTAATAACTAAGTAATAAAATTTTTTGCTAAATTAATAAATCGAAATTACACTAAAAAAATTATATCGCTGAGTAAAACATTATTAATACTAAGTAGTATGAAGGGTACAGTAACTTTACACCAAGTACAAATAATTCATTAGAAGCAACAAACCGAGTTATCAAGGACGAGCACACATTTGGAGAACGACTTCGATTATCAAGATTTTTTACTATTGCCAATGATATCGTTAAAGGATGATCCAAATCTCGCAGTCCGAATCAAATAGGTTCAATTATATTTTCAACAGAATCGACAATTACATTACAGAAATGGACTAATCCATATCATTTTGCAAAATCATCAAAATCAGTATTACAAACATCATCTAAAAGAAAAGGATTCATTGATTCCTATATACCAGCTGGTGAAGCAGAAAAAGTTACAACAAATAAAATCCAGCAATACAAAAGGGAAAATTGGACATCATTTGATCAACTTAAAGGCCTTCAATTTAGAATATGAGAAGTGTCTTTATCAGAAGATGCATCGGAATGGAAAAAAGGACTTTGTAATGGTCCAAGCTTCTTCAAAGAATACATTGTCAAACATAAAATTGCTATGGCTATTAGGTTGAAATTTTGCAAGCCACTTCCATCAGCAAAGGATGTACCTTTAGGTGAAAAACGATAAAGAGAACGACCACGGAAAGCAACAAAAGTTCTATTAATACAATAAATGAACAATTAATTTTTTTACTTAGATACTTATGTCTCTTTACTTAACAAAAAGTGTATATTTATCTAGAGGTTTACAATATTTTGCCTAGAAAATCAAACTAGTTGACTTAGAATTAAATTAAAAAACTTAGCAAAAATATATTTTTTACTTACAGTTATTTTCAATAAATTACTTAGCAAAAGAAACATTTTTTACTTAGCATGTAAAGAGTAGCGGAGCTTTTACACTTTAGGGCCCCAAACAATCAACTTTCTCGCCCTCACCCTCACTTTCGTGCTTGTGCTGTGGCCAATAAGATGCTTTGGGTCCTAAAGTGTAAAAGAACCCAAATTCAGTCAGATTTCTACTTGTCAGTTTTTTTCAAAGAAAATCCATAATTGGTCAATGGTAATGAATCACTTGATTTGAACTGTTCAATAGCATCAACATGCGAGACATTATTTTTTTTTTGACGAAATTATCTAACATAGAAATCATAAGACTAATATTTACAAAAGCATATCATATAAGCAGCTTTTTTTTTTATTGTTGATTTAAATATTTTTATTTGTTTTAATAATCTTTTATTTACGATCGTAGATCTAAAAGAAAAAGCATCCATCTTGTGATAGAATGAGCCAAAAAGAACATATGTTGTGAGATCACTCGTTCCTTGAAAGATAATCGTCTCATTCATAACCACCAGTAAAAATGACGTAAAGTACATTGAGTAGTAAGTATCATTATCATACATTCATTTTTCAGTTTTTCTTCTTTTTAGTATTCTATGTTTTATATGTTGAAAGTAGAGAACGAGTGTAAAAAAGCCCAATTATGTTCTTTTCTAACTGATAAGAATATAAAAAGGACAAGAAAAAAGCAACTGATACCAATGATAAAATAAGCTGAGATTAGTGACATAGAAACAGAAAATATCAAACATGCTTTTTCTTCTCTTAGGTGCTTGCATTGACGTTTCTAAAAAAGAAATCAATAGAAGGTTCTCGGTTCCTATTACATCTTGGTATTACTAAAATAATTCTATACACTTACCCATAAACATAAATATCACAATATTATGTCAACATGAATGTAAAAGAAGAAATGAAGTTATGTTAATATTCAGTTAAATTTGATTATCAATTTTTTTTTTATCATAGATCGATTATTTCAATCAACTTGAAATAGCAGAAAGCTTCACATAATAAATCACTGAAATGGTACCAATTAAAGAATCAAATCATTCAAATTGGTTTTCTTCAATCAAGACAGTCTCTATTTCATCAATGAGCAAACAGGTCTACATCAACACTTTAATCATAAATCCATTCGAGTGGGTGTGGGTATGAGTTTCAGAGAAGACCAAGAGAACAATCACACCCACACCCTATACAATATTAAAGTACTATCAACAATAATTTTAGGTTACCCTAAGTGTTATGATCCTTATTTGAGTTTCATAAAAACTAAGTCAATCGTGAATGTATATATATTTGAAAAAACTTTTTCTCTCATTTTCTAATTTTTCAAATATTTCATGAAAATTTTTGCGTTGTTTTATTCTTTGGTCTTATTTAAAGACAAACACAGACCTTTGACGACGCAGTAGAGATTATTTTTAACCTGACTGGAGAAAATTGAGAATTTTTCCCAGTAAGAATCATTCCTTTATTCGTGAAAAAAGATTATAGAATAAAAAACATCTGAACTCCTTCTTTTAAAAAAAAATATATATCCTTCCAACTATCAGCAACTTTTTTTACCTACCTTCTCTCTCCCGTTCAGCTTTTTTTTATTGACCATATATTTACGCAAACAGAAAACAAAATAGAAGCATTGATATTATTTGAATAAACGAACTTCTTACAGGTAGGTCTTCATATATAAATGTTTTAATATAGATTTTTCTTGATGAATCATAGAAAAGACACCTATCTTATATTTAACGTTGGATAAGCGTAGGGTTTGATTTCATCAGATGTTTTTGTGGATGATCTATTAGTTAGATCATTCAATGTCGTAGAAGACGATGCTAAAGACATGGTTATTAAATTTCATTACCTACTGAAGAAGAAAAAAATGTAGAAATTCAGATATACTGTATTTCTTAGCCTTTGAAATAAAGTTTTGAGATGAATAACTCTGAAATTTTTCTCAAAAATCCAATATGACACTTTAGGACTCGGTGCAATTTCACGGGTTTATTATTGTTTCAATAGAAATTAGGAAATTCTTTGCATATCAGTAAAGATTAACAGAATAGAATTCAATAGCGATAGCAACTGATATATAAATTATTGACAATATGTTCGTTTTTTTCTAAATCGAGTTTTATTTATAAATAGTTTGAGTGAAATCTTTCGATTCCTTTCTTCTATCGAGTTATGTTACATCACTGGGTTTTTAATTAACTAATATCTATTTTTTTTTTGTTAACTGATTCTTTGAATGATCTAAATCTATGAATCATTGTAATATTTTGATATGAAAATACTTATCAATGTAGAAGTGATTATGGTCGTCATAGTTTGATAAAGAAATTCAACTCAATAATGAATCAATCATGAATAATTTTATTGTTACAAGCATATTCACTAAAAACTTTCTCATGCTTGAGTTTTTGTTGTGTTAAGCTTGTTTTTTTGTTTCTATAAAAACTACCATAATTTTGGTTTTGTATTATAGACGTGTTTTTATTTTTGACGTTCTGAAGCGCTAATCATAAAGTAGGATGTACAAAAAGAAAGGAAATGAAAAAAAAAGAGACAAAAAAATAGGATAAATGAGAAAATGAAAACACACTACGGGAACATAATGCTGATGATTTTTTCATCAAAGCTTGTCTCCAGAGAAACCATCATTAACAACTAAGAAATAGAACGTTTCTTTCTTAACTTTCTTCTTTATTATTAGCGAATTCTCGACCTCCTTCTGAAAAGAGATTTATGGTTACCAGCTGGTTTACCGTTTTTTGATGGTTGAGATGAATATCTTAGTCCACTTTCTTTTATTTTTGTTTTCTTAAATTAACTGTTTGTAATCGAACGAAATATTCAGTTTCGTAAAATTGAATGTTTTGAAAATTTTCTTGAATAGATTTAATGGCAAAACAAGTGAGATTCACCACAACAGATTCAGTGAAGTATTCTGAAGCGGATGATGAACATGTCAATTTTGATGCACAACAAATAGTAAATGGAGAATTAAAACTCGAGAATTATCAACCAATACGAGAACTTGAAAAAATCAAATTTGAAGGCGATCAAGCAATACAGATGACCAATTTTTCGACTCCTCAAGAAAAGGAAATGGCTGAAAGTCTTCAGCGTAATACGAATGGTTGGATTGACACAGCAAAAGATGTCTTAACTGCTGTTATTGATGTCTGTGGTTTAGGTAAGACTAAATAAAAATGTTAATAATCATATTTACACTCTAGTTTATAGTACAAATATGGGGACCAGCAATAAACGCCGGTATTCTTAAACCTGATGATGTGACACGTGCAACTCATCATGTGATATCGCTCGGTGAAACATTAAAAAGAACCTATGATCGGGCATGTGATAATGCTGTGAAGAATTCCGATGAATTATTTTTAGCAATTGAAAGTAATGACAACATAAGTAAAAATTCAACAGTTCAAACAACAGTGCAACAACATCGAAACGATGTGAAAGAATTCCAACAAGGTAAAGCCAGTGTTGATGTACCTTATCAAAGTCATGCTAAACTACGACAAACTATTAAACAAGTTGAACCAAATGAACAATCTAATGTACATAAGAAAGCAGAAGAATCTAGTCGAGCTTGGGATTTAGCGAAAGCTCTTGGAACGATCGTTTTAGCTGCTGGTATCATTGTTGGCATGGTTCTTTTGAAACGTTGATTGATCAATAATAAATTGACTATTTTAAATAGAATTATATGACTCCTTCGCATAACTCTAACACTTTGTATAACTTTTTCTATTTTTTATTTTAGAAAAACACAAAAATATTCAAATGAATGCATCGTAATAATTATTCATGACGATTTTCTTATTGAAGGAGTTTTAAAAATTCACTTGCTAATGTCATCTATCATAAATTCTAATCACTAAAATATTCAATATAAATAAATAAACAAGAATTATTTTAATTTATTTATCTTTAATCAAAAAGTAAATGCACTTTTTGAAAATTAATTTGATTGTTGCATATAATCCTCTCAAGCATAACTGACTTTACTTTATTGTTTATCTTTGTCAGTATTTCCAATTATTACAGCTTCGCTTTGATGTTTTAAAAAACATCTCTTGAAAATAATTTTTAGATTTTATTGGTGAACAAACAAAAAAAGCAATTTAGTTTCTGATGAGAAAGCCTCAATAATTGATACTTTCTCTTTTAGATCATACTTTACTCATAATGAGGACTCATAGTGTAGATAAAAAATTGTTAAAAGATTCTTTCCATAAGGCTTTTCTTCTCAAGTTATGATTATTTGACTGAATTTTCAATCTATTGCAGTGTATTACGAGTAAAACCTAGTCGACGAATTTCACTTTGGAATTTCGTCCACGAACAAATTTCATGGCGATTTTACTTTAATGGAAAAGGACGTTTTTTTGTACACTTGTTATCTTGGTAATCAATTATTGATTTTAGCTGAAATCAGTAGGATATTACACAAAGTATGGTGTGTGGGTATAGTTTGAATTTTTTTTCAGATCAACACACATCCACGCATATACTCCCAATCTTTTCTTTAGATTCATACAAATCATATCATCTTAATTGTACTTTTACCACTCATAATTATCATTTAAGATTTTGTCTACATAATGAAACAAATAAAACAAACAAATCTACTGATTGCATCGTTCGTTTAGCATTACCAAATAGTGGACAACACAAATTCTTGTTTTTAAAAACCTATGAAATAGAGGTGTGAATGCGGGATGTGTGTGAAAAGAAGACACCCACACCCACATCCTTACCGATTTATTATATACATGTACACTCGACTTACTTCATTTTCTTTTCTTTGTAATGATTTTTTATCTCTAAACTTTTTTCTTTCCTTTATGAATTCTTCGCTAGAATGTTTAAATTTCAGTTAAATAATACTCCTGATTTAGTATGTATGATGAAAAGTGAAATATGATATTTCACACATTACACGATCCTATATGATTGTATACGTTGGTATAGGATGGTAAACGATGAACGTTTAATTCTGTATACTGAAGATCGGATAATACTTTTTCAAAACTATGCATTTCTTTACGACCTTCATAATTGTTCGTAGACAGTCGTGTACAAGGGTGCTTGTTCAACTTGGGTTTAGAGTCCTGCAACGGGGTCGGGTACCCGGCACCCGACCGGACCCGAAACTGTGGTCCGGGTGCAAATTTGCCGGGTCGGTTCGGGTGCCGGGTATAAAAAAAAATGCCGGGTCGGGTGCAGAATTTGAGCATACCCGGTACCCGACCGGTAGTCGATGACATCTTAACAAGTAAAAGTATTTTACACTCTAGGATAGAGTCCTGCAACGGGGCCGGATACCCGGCACCCGATCGGATCCGGAACTGTGGTCCGGGGACAAATTGTTACTTGATGAAATTAAAATAATAGTATATTTTGCCATATGAAATAAAAGTTTGAAAAGTGAATATAATTTTGACAATAACAATCAAGTGCTGACTATTTCAAGGCTGGGCCGGGTCCGGTCGGGTACCGGGTAGAGCTATCCGGGTCCGGTTCGGTTCCGGGTGGAAGATGACCGGGTCCGGTCGGATTCCGGGTTTGAAAAAAATGAGCCGGGCCGGGTCCGGGTGCGAAAAGTAGTACCCGTGCAGGACTCTACTTGGGTTACCTTAGATTATAACAAGATTATTTTGATTCGATCATATAGCAAAAAGTTATAAAGTTTTGTTCCAAATTGCGACATTTAATATAGTTGGCATATTTTTCGAACAAACAAAATGGAATGACATGATTGAAAAAAAAATGAAAGAAATTCAAACGCATTGATATTCCAAAAAAAAAAGAACTTCGCGAAATTACAAGTAATTTTTTGAAGATACACGAAAATAAAACTAAAATATCACGCGAAAAAAAAGTCAGCTTAGCCATCCAACACAAAAAAAAATGTCATTTGATTCAAAACTAAAAACAATAAATTCGAATGCTATTTGAAAGTTCGAAAAAAAAAGCCACAATATATTTCTTTTACAAGGCAATAGAAATTTATTACAATTTTTGTTGCAAGAGATTTCGATTTTAAATCACAGGTAAAATAAATTAATATCAATTAAATGATTTTGAATATTTTCTTATTGTTATTTTTTTTGTTTTCATTTGAGATATGAAAACGACTAGATAATAATTTTCAAAAAAAAAGAACTTATAAATGCGTTAAATATGCCAACATTTGTTGATAAATAATTAACACATAAAATTCATTTTTTTTTGAAAAATTAAGTTTTTACATATTATAACAATAGTAAATATCATTTGACGAGAAAAGTCACTTAATTCACATTATTATTTCACCGGTAAATTATTAAAAGAAAATTTGAATTACTAAGCAAATTGATTAGAACAGAAAAAGACAAAGAGCGAAGATGTTCACTTATGCAATATGTTCTTTAGACTATCCTTGAATAGGACAGACAGGATTCCGTTTTTTTCGAAAATGTGTACTCATTGAATAAGTAGGTAATATCATTTCATCATCATCGATTTTATCTTCATCTTGTATTATTTGATCAGATAATATATCTTTATGAAAAAAAAAAGAAATATTTGAAGAGTAAATAAATCCTATAGGTTTACCTATTGATGTTGTTGCTGAGATCGCTTGATCATTCAAAAGATGTTGTTGACGTGATTGTTCATCATTAAGAATATCAAGAAAGAATTTTTTAAAACATGATAATAATTCATCTAATTATATTATGTAACTTTTATCATAGAGAAAACGTGAAAATATTTTAACAAACCTGGTTTTTCAGCAGCATTATTACTATTCTCAACAATATTCGTTGGGTCTACAAAAAAAAAACAAAGATGAAAAAAAAATTAACTGAAGAAATTTGAGATATGCAAAGAAAAATAACATACTCTTTTCATTGCTATCATAAAACGAATATATATCATCTGGCGGTTTAGCAGACGTAAAATCTTTGATATCATCTTTCCAGCAAAACAATTGAGTAAAACCATATAAAAATGCATTATATAATGTACACGTTAAATTACTGACTATGTCTATTGCAGAGTTTATTTTTAATATGTCTTTGACATTTGACTCTTAATATTTATATCGAATATTAGTTAAAAGAAAATTTTCGAAATAATTCGCCTACTATTTATTTGATCATCAATAACAATATCAAGCTTATTCTCTACTATTTCATTAATATTATAAGAAAGATTTTCCTCTTTCATAATAAGACCTATAATATAGATTGATAAAAAAAAATAAAATAAAATAAAATGTTTTCCTCTATACCTTGATAACTATTATTATTTAATGGGGTAAACATTAGCTTATCGTATACTTCTAAACTTCTATTACATGCTAGTTCGACCTTGGTAGTATAATGTTTACAGTCTTAACAGATTATACGAAAATTAATGTATAAAATATTCTTTTTTTAATGATACTTACAAATACAAATACTCATACCAAAAAGTATAACAAATATATAATGCTTTCTCCCATTGATGTATTCTACAAAAATCAATTGACATCATCATATGGTTGATCTTGTCGGTTTTAATTTAAAAATGAAACTCACTTTGAATCTTATAAAATAATAGTTCAACTAAAATAAAAAATAAAGAAGTCGATACAAGAGAAAAGCAAAATCTGAAGAAAGAACCTCGATGACAAGGTCGAGTTTTTCCAAGTCTTATATAATTTTGATTGTTATTGTGTACAATACAATCAGGTATTTGTCGGCCTAATTATTTCGAAAATTTTTCAATATAAATATATTTTTTTATACAATAAATGAACACAAACTTTGAAGATCTATAACTGGATCGAGTGGTATTTCAGTAACTGTTTCAGAATATTCTACAGAAATAAAAATGATTAAAAAAGTAATAATAACTTTAAATCCAAAATATCCTAATCGTCAAATGAATATCTTTCAAGCGAGTAAGATAGATTATCTGAGAAATATATTAAATCAGGTTTCATCGAATTATTATTCATCTTCTATTCAATGAGTACCTTTTTTAATTAAAGACTAAAATCAAATATAAATTCATTATACTAACTATACATGGATTCATTGATTGCATTTTCATCATGATCATCCATATTATCTTCATCATTTACATCAATCAAATAGATTAATGAAATATTAAATATCGATATAATCGATATTAAAACAATATAAAGATGTTGAAAAAGCCGATGAATCATAGTAACCATTGATCCAATTTATGTTTTCTCTAAAAACAATTTTTTTCTCTAAAAATAATCGAAAATCTTCAATAAATCCAGGACTTTTTCGTCTCAAGGGGGGGGCCCGGGCCCCCCCCCCCCCCCCCCCCCCCTGCGTACGCCACTGTCTAAGAGAGAGAGAAAGGGAAAGGGAAGCGCAAACATCAAATACAACAGATTAATTTGAACGCATAAGAAATAATCATCTGTGTGCATAGAAAGAAGGATATTTATAGAACAGACCGAAGCAAATAGCATCGAAATAGAAAATATTGTAAAAAAATGTCGAAACGAAAAAAGAATAGAAAAAAATCGAAAGAAGATATACTGAAGATATAAAAATGTTCAAAAGTTAGAAGATGACATATATAGTCAATTTACTGTTGATTTGTATTCTATTGATGTATAAGATAGCCTTAAAATATTTTTCGTAATTGTTCAGGATGTAATGCGATTGTTAGAATAAGGAGAAAGATAACCACCAACCGACAATAGGAATAAAAAAATTGATTTGTTTTATAGATATGCTTATCTGTTTCCTTATAAACCCAATCGTAATTTATTTAATGCCTAACATCAATGATAATCCATATTTTCTTATCTCAAACAAAGACGAGCTTTTACTAGTGTTAAATGGTATTGTGTATGAAAAAACTGAAGCAACAAAAACAAAAAAAATACTAAATATGTCAAAAACAGATGGATGTTGTAATGAAGACCATCGGTGATCATAATCAAAAATCTTTTCTATTCAATATATTAATAAAATATCTGCATCTAAATACTCTAATCCATTTTATGCTAAATTTTTCGACATATTTTTCTTCGATGATTTTTTTTTCATCGCTTTCTATCTCGACATTTTTTTTTGTTTTGGTCTTTCTTATGACATTGGGAAGAAATTACTATATGTACATACGTTATTTAAGATAGAGCAAGTGCATATATAGGCACAAGGATCATTGGTGATGTTCTTTGCTTTCAAATTGATCAATGAAAGAGAGGCAAATCTCTTTCGATATGGACACTACAGAAAGACGTGCATTCACATTTGTGATTGAAAGGTTCATATTTCAAAACATATTCTCTTAATATCAATATGATCAAAATAATAGTACTACAAACTGATATATGTGTATCTGGATTGATTTAATCGTACGTAAATGAGTCATTTTTATTTATATCAATAGATATGACACTCTAGATTTCATTCTATCCTGAGCTCGTTATGTATCATACTTTTTTCTCTTTCTTTCTATCATAACATTTTCTTGTTCTACCTCAAAAAAAAATAAAAACCACTATGAACACATGGTTCTTCTATGACTCAAGAAAACAGAACGTAGTAATATGTTTTTTTTATATGTGGTTTTTTCTCAATAGTCTTAATGATAGAAATTATTTAAAAAAAACCTGTATCACATGTTAGATATTCATCAAAAATCTTAACACTTATTATGAAATTGTGAGTCTATGATGTTTAAAATGATAATGCTTTACTAATATTTTGAAAGCTTATAGGTTGACGTTCCAGTCAAGAAAAAGAAGATTGTACCAATTTTTGACGAAAATTATAAACATTTGGAATTATTTCAAATACTATAAGCAAAATCTTATTTAATTGTTATTTGCATGGAAAAGTAACCAAGAGAAAAACGTATGAGGAACTGAAAATGAAAATATGTAAAAAAGAAAACAAAAAAAAAACAACAACTTTAAGCTCACCCACTAATTTTGTATTCGATAGAAATACTAAAAAGAGTGAAGTTTGCTTTTATTCTGAGTGAATAGAAAAAGAGAAAAGAAAAATTTCATTTCTAATGACAGATCCATATAAAAAAAAAAGATAAGAAGTATTTACCGATGCATACTTCATCTAGAATATTCATTAAAATGCTTTCTATAGACATTCGCCTGCTTTTTTTTTCTTTCTTCTCCAATCGTTGTTATATTATTGTTCGTTGACTCAGGCGTTCTGTTGACTTTCACCTTTTTTTTTAACTTCTCATTCGCATCGAACAAAAAAAAAAGAAAATAAGCAACCTTCAGCAAAGAAGACATACAAAATGAAATTTGCTAATAATAATGATTCTATGTTTCTTTAATAGTCATTCTCTTCTATAAAGAAAACAAAACTCAATTATATTATTTGATCTTGTTTCTTTTTTTTTTACATTATAAGTAGAAACTTAACATCTATTTAAACTGTGTATGAGAGTTTCTAACTTAAATGTACTTTAATAGAATCTATTCAAAAATGTCTGATAGACATGGTGTAAAATATAAAACAAAAATAAAAAGTTTTTGTATCTTATTGACTTAAATCGAATAATTGATTATATTTTTCATCGTTTATACATAAAGAGAGTATCATGTTTTAACCATTAATTTAGCTAATAATGTGTCATAATTCCAATAAATGTTGAGTATAATTAATGTTCCAACATTTGTATTCAAAATAAGTATTACCGTCGAATTGAACAATAAAGACAGATAGAATCAGACAATGTGAAATAATGAAGAAATAGGTAGAATAAACGAAAGAGGTAAGAAGTATGACATGATAAAAACAATTATGTGTATTATTGCAGAATGAATAAAATGCACCGATGCAATTGTCAGTTTATGTGATGAGAAAAGAAAAAGAAGAAAAGAAAAAGACAACTTATACAGAACAACCAGAAAAAAATAAAAATAGATGATGCCCATAATACTACATACGTCTATCACAGTCTCTATTTACTCTCCTCTATTTTAGATAGATTTTTTCTGGAAAAAAGAATGCAATCCTTCAAAGTAAAACATTTCATCAGCTATTATATAATAATGTTTATTTCATTTATTTTTAAGGAAAAAATCTCTCAAATTTACTTTCTATTCTTATAAGTGTCAATAATGAATGAATATACTTTCATGAATTTTTTTGACTTTAAATGAATTAATTTGAATAATAAGAATTGATTAAGTGAGAAGAGAAACAATTGTAGTCATTATGAGATAAAATCAATAATTATCTACAGACAGAGAAAAATACATTACATAAATACGTCATCAAATCAAATCTCGAAATTGCAACGTGGTTTTGTATTTTACTCTTTATTTGTTTTTTTTTGTTTGATTTGAAAATATAAGAGAACAAAAGAATAGAAAAAAAATTCACATGAAATCTTCTCGAGAGAATATCTAGATTAAATAAAATATAATTTCTTGAAATCTTAATAATGAAATTAATTTTCAAATTAATTAATATATCTATCATATTTTTATAAAGTAAAAATAAAATTGTGAAGATATTAATAGCTGTTCCATTAAAAAAATATATGAATTCACTTATCACAATGATAGTTAATAATGAACTCGAGTTTTTGTTCAATAAATATTTAATTTTTCTTGCTAACCATTATAGTTACCATAGGTTTAAAGTGAACTTTGTTGAAATTGAATGAATATTGAAGTCTAAGTTTGTTTTTTTTTATATTCATGGTCTTAGACGGTTAGTACGACCATAATAGGAAACGATTGATAATTATACATCTTGCACTATTTACTATTCAACAAATTATTATACTCTTTCAACTGATTCTCTCAAAGATAGTACACATATAATATTTCATTGATAGGTTTATTTGAATTAGATTCAAATATTAAACGTAATACTTCACTTGATACTAATAAATAGGTTTTGGAGTAACACAAAAATATGAATGCGTTAAATAATACAATATGTTGATTTTAAACTGAATGTAAATTAAGACGCACAAACTGAAATAGCAAACAAGGATATACTATGTAATGTTCAAATAAATATATACCTCGGTTAAAGAATGTAAGGTGGTGCGATATTGTGACTCGCAGTCTATTGGTTGATTGACTATCTATTTTTTTTCAAAATCTTTCTTTTGTTTTGGCATTTAGTCAATTTATATAATTTCTAGTCGTAAAATAAGCAGTTGAGAAAAAAGCCGCACCAGACCAGAACCAAAATATCAAGTGTGGCAATAATCATTTTTCATGTGGTAATGGTTGTGCGTTGCCTTGCCGTCGGTAGGCACTAAAAGAAGAGCGACTCACTTTTTGTTCTCATATCAAGGATTAAAATATATATTCGTATAGTCAGAGTTCGTCATTCATAAAACTGCAAAAAAGAAACCGGACTATCTGTGTTTCGGTTCATAGAAATGAGTTGTATTTTTTCGATTACTGACTAAAGTTTGTTTAGTTTCTTTCTTGTTTCATATTAATAATGTAAAAAAATATAAACTATTAAACTATGTTCCTGACCCTAACCAAAGCAATTTGCTTGTTGTCGATTAAGAAAAATGTATATGAAGTACTTGAAACCACTATTGTATTTTCATCGAAGAGGATAGAACATGAGATCAGCAAAGCTTTACAGATGATACTATATTGACGCAAATAGCATAATTTTTCATGATTAGTTTATTTCAATATTGAACTTCATGTCTGATAATTAAAATGAATAATGAAAGACCTTTAGACGCTAAATCGACAGTTTCCTTACAAAATAAGTGTCTACATGTTTGAAAATTGAATATATTTCAACTGTTAAGTTTTCAACTAAGTAACATTGAATATTGATTGTACATGCATTAATTCAATAACATTCACAAAAATTGTTTTTTTCCTTGTCTTCGAACACTTAACATGTGATGTTTTTTGGTTGATCACAAGTAAAATTTTTTTAGGAACATCAAAAATAAAACCTAATGCTAGTGTTAGTGTACTTCATCTGTATGAAAAAAAAGCTGCGAATAAACTCTTATCAGTAATTAAAAAATCAGTCTATATGAATGAACCGAAGCAGACATTTTTTAATTGTGTTTTATTTATCATAGTATTATTTATGATTCATCGTCCATATTAAGATTTCGCTGATTAGTCGCACATTACTTTCTCGCTTGTACTATCAACCATAATTTGCTTAAAACAAAAAATTAAACGATTAACAAACTTTGTTTTCAATTTTTATAATAAAATCACTGAGTATTCTTTCTCATAAAGCAAAACAAAATTATTAAGTCAATTTTATATTATTTTTATTGCATCACTGCATATTCTGAGACGAAAGAAAAAAACTAATAAAATAAGCAAAACAATAGCAAATACTATATCATTGGCCGTTGGATTTTTTGAAGGGGCTCAAAATAACTTTGATCCTAGTAGATAAAGAAAATTATTCTCTATCAAACTACATTTTTTATTTTTATTTTTTGTAAAGGTGTGTAATGATACTAAAGGTCACCAAGATGAGATTGTAGCACCCTCTTTATGACATATACTTTTTTTTTTTTTTTATTGAATTAAGTCTTGAGATTCACACTCACACTAAAAAAAATAAACACCTGACTAGTCTCTTTATTCTACTTCAACTGGAAAGTTTCCATATTAACTGAGAAAAAAAGTAAAACATGTAGCGCCGCACAATGTGCATATTTTGATATACATTCGGTGATTCATCTGACTCAGTGTATGTGCAATTATTCCCGTGTAATGTTGATCTACTGACTGATGTGAATGAATCACTTCATCATTTCTAAACAGAATCCACGAATGCACTTGTTGAGACCATCTTAGAAATGAACCCTTTAAAAAACTAATTACAAAGAAAAATTAGGCGAAGCTTATAATAATTTTATATAATATTTTCATTCTGACCATTTTTCATTTTGTAATTATCGTGATACTATTAATTAGAGACATCATCGGTACATCCCTTGACATCTTCACATGTTTCAGTGATTTCGTGACGTTTCTATGCCTACGCTCCATTATGGAAACAATAGTGTCATATACTCGTTTTCCTAAAAATGGTCAGCATAGTATTTATCGGACATTAATATCCATATTACGCTGATTCTAAATATATATAAATCTTAACATTTGGCTTATTTCTAAAAAAAAAATATTTACACAGTGCATTTAGAAATAACCAGTGAAAGATAAGCTCATTCGTTTCATCAGTCAGTAGATCATCTAACTAAAAACGATTGAATGGAAATTTCACAAAAAATCAAGCTGTTTTTTTCTGATTCTAATAAAAGTCGAATCGATTTCTGACGTAAAGCAGTTTTGGAAGTATTTTCAGGGTGGGTGTGGGTGCGGGTGTGAGCGTGGGTATGGATGTGGCTGTAGGTGGAGTGTGGGTGTAGATAGACAGCATCCACACCCATCCAGACCCAGACCCACATCACACACCCACAGCCATACAGTCACCCGCACCCACACTTACACCCACACACGCACACACCCACAGCCACACACGCACACACCCACAGCCACACACCCACACCTACACCCTACACCCTCAATTCTTCATGTCACTCTCATCAGTTTTGGTTTTGCTCTTTTCGAAGCCATGATCAAAGTTCATGGAATACAAAACAAAGCTTTCGAAATTGGTATATAGTTTATGTTATTTAATGACTAATTCAGAGATCTGTGCTTTTGTATTCGACGAAATGTAACAATAGTATAGGATAAGTCATTGAAAACTTATCACAATGGGCATCAAGAATTGCCAGAAGCCGAGTAGTTTTCAATACTAGAATTATTCTAATCTTTGATTCGGAAGTTTCAGATATTGATAGGAATTGACACATCCTTAATCGATGTAATGTAGTTCTTCTCTGAATTGTTATCATTTTGATCACAAAATTACAGCAGTTTGAAAAGATGCTATTTTTTCATTGTGGGATGCCTACTGAGGAATAGGCCTATACTTCTAGATTATGTTAACATATTCAACAAGATCCTTTATCTGCTCTAATTTCATTTGCACCATATTATACTTAGGCGATGCACATCTTTTATTTTAATGTTCATATTGATTTTGCAGCCTTTTTATCAATCTATTCTACTAATGATACTATCAATGCCACATATAACACAATTTTTGGCGCCAATAGTACCGCATCTACAAATGGTTCTGGTATTGGACAATATGCTTCTACTTAGAGCGCAAAAAATGTTTGCGATCGCAACCTAGCCAATAAATATCTAAATTTTGGTCCATGTAATAATTTGAATAATGCGACTAATTGCGGCTTGAACACCGGTTTCTATTTTACGTCACGACAAGGTGCATCATTGGTCACAGTTATGCAGATTTGTACCGGTGACGATAATCCACCCGAGATCCCATAACAATAACGTTTAAAGGGACCAACAACTCTGTAGCGCTTCAGGCTATTGATTCGAGCTGGACTTTGATTTATATGGTACAACTGGTCTTGATGTTGATCCAGGTAGATACAAATGTGGAACACAACTCTCCATTTCCAATTCGGTTCACTATACCAGCTATCGATGTCTTGTTACTATAAAACATGGTTTCGGTAACTCGGTCCAATGCTCTGAAGTATGGCTCTACAACTAGCACCGACTTTTCAATGTTACTGATTTTATTCGTTACAGTTTCGAACAGAGACGTTTACTGAACTATAATTCTTGTTTTGTGGTCTCTCCTTATATAAGTTGAAGAAGTGTGCGAATTTGAATAAAATAATTTTTCTACAGACGTAGCTTTTTGCTGAAATTGTTAGGTTAGTATTGGGTAACAATTGATAAACAAGCACAGAAAAAATAAAGAATTAACTTGTAAAGAAAGTTGGCAGCCGATTCAAGTCATGAGTGTCCCAAAAAGAACTACACTTCTCGTATTTCTCAATATTCTTCTCTTCTTTAAACTTCATTGAACCAATTGCTTGTTCAATTTTGTACAAGAATATATGAAAATATTTTATTTTGCAGTGTACCAGTAGAAAAATCCGTACGATATTTTGAAAGCAATGAAAATCTTGACAATATGAAGTTGCGTAAGATTTCTGGTTTTCGAGCAATGCTAAAAAATGAACAGGATGTCCGAACAAATTTTCGAACACATATCTCGATTATATATCGGGGTGTGGGTATGGGATATTGGTGTGGGGTGCGGATGTGGAGTGTGGGTCTGAATGTGGGTGTTGGTTACGATATTCTCTTGAACATATCCACACCCACACAGCCACAGCCACAGCTACAGCCACACCCACACACATACCCACACCCAGTTCCACTCCCATACCACACACCATATACACCGCACACTGCCGCCTACACTAAAATCAACACCGACAGTCTATTCCACACACGCACAACCGCACTCACACCCATATCTATAGACAATATGCTGAGACAACATCTTGTATTTTAATTAGAATAATATCAAGTTACACGCAGTTGTTATGATAATATGAAAAGTATGAGTTAGAATTAAAATATTAGTCACTATGGCTATATGAGAAGTAAAAAGAAAAATCACATTTGAATTGAAGAGATTTAACACTTTTTGAAATAATAGTAAAATAATCATAAGACGAGTCATAGTCGTGTATATTTGTATACTTGGTTTAGTGTCATCTCGGAAACGTATAAATTGAGATTTGAATCAAATGCAATCCCACCTACTTGTTTGAGTGTAGGTGTACTGCTTGTGCCAGTTCCAAGTATGACAGTACCTGTTATTGAATTGGCACAAATCACAACCACTCGTTTACCTTTCATATCAGCAACGTACAAATTGCCATACGTATCCAACGCAATCTGTGCCGGTTGGTTGAGATTGGCGCCATTAGCAGTAGACCATGTTGTATTGGCGGTATCTGCACCGAATGTCCATATTTGGATATGATCCTTGCTCTGATCACTCAGGTATACTTGGTTTGGAGAGCCATTGATCAGTAAAATGCCACATGGATTGCCAAGCTGGCCAGAAGCTACACCGCCGGCACTACCATCAATTAAAACGATGCCATTTGTTGCATTCAAAGCCCATTTCACTACTCTGTGATTACCTGAGTCAGTGATGAAAATATTGAAAGCGGCATCAACAGCAACGCCACTTGGTTGATTTAGCTTGTTAGTTGCACTACCACCGCCACCTGCTATTCCAGCAATAGTTGTGCCGTTGTTTGAGTTGGGTGAATAGCGTTGCACCCTATTATTACCAGCGTCAACTACATACATATATCCATTATTATCAAACTCAATCCCTTGTGGGTGATTAAGCTGATTCGAGCTAGATCCAGAATTGCAAGCACTGTCGCCGGCTACAGTCGTACCATTCGTGGCTCCTGGTAGCCAAAGTTGAATTCGATGATTACTGTAATCGCATATATAGAGTGAACCATTTGCATCAATGTGTAACCATTGAGGTTGGTTGAGATTATTGGCATTTTTTCCAATGTTGCCATCGCCCGCCACTGGCACACCTGTTAGATTCCACTGAAGAGCTGTACCTAAAGTGATGTTGCATATCATAGAGGTACAATATTTCTAATACATAATTCGAAAGTTCTTGGGATCATAACTAGTAGACTAGTTTTGTCTCTACTCGTAATGTAATGAATATAATACATATCTTCCTCTATTATACAGCTCTTACTAAAAGATATGCACAAAAAGCTTTTTTTAACTTGGAATACCAAAGAAAAACAACGGGGTACATCCAGCGTAAACAAAAGATGAATGAAAAATACGTAGTCTTGCCTCAATTCTTTTTGAACTTTGTAGGCATTAATTGGTTGAAGCTCTCGAGAATTATTTGAGGAGTAACAGTACTGAAATTATATTAAAGGTGGCTCTGAGGAATCCGATGCATGGATCAGTAATAGAAATAAACGTATAAGAAAAAGAGAATGCATAAAATCACATTAACTAATTGTAGGTCACTATTAAAACGTAAGTCTAAAACAGTTTGTGAATAAAATACAGTTTTTGCGATCTCATTTATATTACAGGTGCCCAAGAAAACTGTTTTTGAGTAAAATCATAATTTTCTAAGCATTACATGCGGTTAAATGCACCAATACAAAGTACGATTTTGAGTTTTTACATGTTCATGACAATAAACGGGACTATCGAATGCTGCGGTTTTCAATCCTTTTACAGATCTCGGAAACCTCGATGCCAACCGTTGAATAAGGATAATGCTCAATTGCAGCGGTATCTAAAGTCACAACTAATAAAAAGAAAATCTCGATTTCTATTCATCGCAATTTTAAATAATAATCGGGCCACGTTTTTTTTATCTGATTACCAAGCATTTTTTCGAGAGCTAGTGAGCATCACTACAAACCATGTTTTTACCTGCCTTCAATACAAGGTTACCTCTGTTTAGAGAATAATATAAATTATGATCTGGAATCTGATACTTAGGATCAATCTCACTTCTATTCGGAGTCACGGATATCGGAATACGTTAAGTGAAAGAATATTTTACAGTTGACACTCTAACAGAGATATAGGTTCATAAATGATTCTTAAAAGTATCGTATACAGCAAAAGTAATCTTTTAGATTTCATAAAATGAAAATCATTTTGTAGTTTTCGTATCAAGCTTTTGTGAGGTATGTTCAGATTTCCAAAAAAAGGAAATGACCCATATTTCTGAAATTTGCATCAGCTCGATTACTATATAGCAGTGCAAATCAACAGTTTTTAGACATATTCGAAATTTCAGCAATTTTAAAAATTTCTGTAAATACGTCATTGCGGAAATTTCAGAAATGTCGGAAATTACATCATTTTAGGAAGTAACGTACAATTCCGAACACAAAGGCTTGAAATCTCCAAAACTTCCGAAATTTCCTTTTTCGTAAGTGTGAACACTGCTGTGGAAACGGGGGAATTTTTCATGATTCGACCCTGTCCAAAATAGTCTAGATTTTGCTCAAGTTCGCCTGGTCCTATCCAAATAAAATTTCAACCTGATCAGGCCTGCCCTTCGAGTTTGTCAGGCTCACCTAAGTCCCAAGAAAATTTCATTGAGAAACATATTTTTCTTGATAGAATTCGGAAATTGTTTTTGCTATTAGCAGCATTCTTAGGGGCAAATAATCAATGTTATGATTGGTTTGATTAGGTCATATTGCAGAGATTCAAATAAAATTAATATGAGATAAATCGAATTATTTTTTGAGTGGAAAGAAAAAACAAAAGATATTCGAAGGTATTTGAACTGAAGAATAATTATTATGCATAACTCGATGTTTATTGACGCTGAAGTTGTTCATTATAATAAATCTCAAGGAACTGTACTATACTTCTGGATGAAAGTTTCTTTTCAATTTTGATTATCTAGACCGACAGCATTCAATGTAAAATGGTGTGTGTATGGAATGAAAAAAGCATTTGGATGCTTAAATTTTGGAGGCCTCGCGCATCTCTTAGGGTCAATTCAGCTTTTTTGTATAACTGCTGAACTTACAGTAGCTAATTACTAGAAGCTCATGAATTCTAAGTAAAGGCCGATTTATTTCTCAAAAATCAACTGAATCTCTAAACTTTCGATATCAAAAAATTTTCTTGCTGCATACATAGCATATTTCTTCACGTGTTACTGCACTGGACCATCAAAATGAAGCAAAGCTTCCGTTCAGAAAAATACCAAGAAATCTATAAATGTTCTTTTTTCAGACAGTGGTATACTCTCAATATATTCACCAGTTAATTAAAGTTGAAGAGTGTAAACTATTATCTTCCGCTCTCACTATCGATAATAATAGTTTATTTTTGGCACATGTTTTCTCTCAACCGCATTATTACAATAGGTAACATAGTTAGTACATGACAGAACAACTACGTGTCAATGATAGATACGATCGGTTTAAGCAACTACGACGGCTTATTATGTTACTTGTACTTCAAATCCAGATGGTTTTTCTATCATAAAACTTTTAAAATAATTCCTATTAGTCAAAATATACATAAAACTTGATAAATAGCAAAAAATATGATTGAAACGTCGGACTAGATCAGTCCAAGAAAACACTTGGTCCATTCTGACCGAAAGTGAAATCTTCTTGAGTCGAGTCCGGTGGCGCATTTTGAAGCTTGATATTCCTGTAGTGTTCTCATCTTTAATCACCTTTACTTGGACTTTACAATCAATGTTAACACTTAAGAAATCTCTACAAGAAATTTGACTGATGTCATTAGAGAATTGGCATCAATTCAGCGAATATGGCATCATAACGAGATGAGGTAAATCATCAAATCTCACATCATCTCGTACTCGTTTCTTCGCAAGGCAAGACAAGGCGGTGAAACTCGGCGGCTGGCAAATCTCTGGCTGATACAGTGCAAGCATCGGTAGTGATCTTATGAAAACCTTCATAGTTCCGTACAATGTAATAGGGTATCGTACTTTTTCTTACTATTATTTTCTGTATTTTGAGAAAAGAAACATGTTCGGTATATTTTCTACAGAGTCTTCTGTGTGAGCGGCATGTAAAGACGTTACATATAAATAAATTCGCTTAAGCCATGGATAAAAATGGTAATTAACTTGTTAAAATCACTCGATATACCGTTATTAGCATGATATTTTTACTTATCTGTTGCTATTGTTCAACACTACAATAGATAAGAGTCAGTGCGATTCGAAGTCTTTTCACTAAATTATACTTGGCATCGAATCGACCGGCTTGCCTTTTTCTCAATGTTATTTTTATCAATTTTTAGAGCATTAAAAGGGTGTGGGTGTTTGTTCGTTTCTTCAGGCACACCCACAGCCACCCACACCCACTCACAGCCCAGCCTCCATCTATTTTTCTGAAGTCTGAAAACCAGACCCTAAATGTGATTTCACTAGATGTTAGGTATCACGATTCACGAAATGTCATTTACAGTTTGACTTTCTAAGCGCAGGAAAACCAATGAAAACCGCGATTGTCCAGTAAGCAATTAAGCGCGAATTTTTATGAAACATTACGCTATGAACGTTACATTTAATGTGTACCACTGTACATTTGAGAGATAAGAGTTGCATTCAAACAGGCTATATATATGTCTATATGTAGAATCAATGGGAAACGTATGAGTCGCACGAACTATTGTAAAAAAAAATTTTTGAAGTTTAAAAATACTCACACTATAATCTAAAAAATGGTGTTCAACAATGTATTGCTAAAAGTATTATGTTCGATTTCATTGTGTTTCATCCTAAATGGTAATATCACTGGGCTAGAATTACAAAAGCTTGCTATTTGTTCTTTCCTATATTTGAACACGACCGATTCCTAGAGTATTTTGTCAAGCATCGATCCATATCTTATTCTATCTGGGTTTTTTAAAGTTAGACTTTGGATCTGGTCACAACTCTATACTTCATGATAGGGCGCATTGGACTAGAGTAGAGTTTTCAAACACATTCTACTCCTAAAGATTTTGTTCAAATCAATGACTTCAATTTCGCAGTGTTGATAGATGACTAAATTGCTTTGAGACAAGCTGAAAAAACGATAGCATCCAAACTAGTCTTCAATGCAGTTTAACAGATTTTATAACAGCTTGAACAACTACTAAGTGGAAATATTGAGTATGTTCTTCTAATTCTGTGAATTTTTCAAAGCTGTCATTGTTACTTTTTAAATAAGAATTAAATTGTACGAAGGTACTTTATGAGTCATTCCATCTAAACCGCGATCTCACCCAGGAAGAGGTATTCAATCGATAGGCTCGGATTTGAATTATTTTCTTATATTTTACAGAGTCAAGTCTTTGATGAATATCTAAGTAAGCTGATAAAAAAATATTGAGCTGCATAAGAACATCGTCCGAACATGATCCTACGTTACACAGATTTGAGATCAGATATTTTACTCTTTCAAATAAATATAACGATAACACTCAGAGCCCATAGAAAACATGTGCTTGGCAACTTCACAAAGGCTTACATTGCATCTGATAAGTTATCAGAATACTCACATGAATTGTAACTTGTTGCGGTCGTGGTTTCTAAATATTGATAAAAAAAAATGTTTAATGTAGTTTACTATGTCTTAAAAATACCTGTAGTAGTGCTTGCTGATGTTGTCGCTGTTATGGAGTTAGTTGACCCTGTAGCTAAAATAAAAGAGTCAAGCAATATAAATGTGCTCCTCGGTGAAGTATCACGACTAACTTAAGTAGCATCCTACTAACTATTCGTACTAATGTTGAGTAAAGCATCCTTATCAGCCAAGCAGACAACATGACATTTTTATGTTTTTTTAATATGTGCAATAAAGCTTCTTCGCGAGGAAATCGAGTGCGAAGAATAGGAGATCGATGCCTGTGCATGGCATTCACTATCACTCGCAAGCAATAGTGTTTGGAGTCATATGATGCGACTGTGGGCATTGAAATCTGTCTTAAAATACTCTCGTCAGAACTAGATGCAATGAAATGATCATTTACTTCATGTATATACCCATTCTTAACACTCAGAGCTGAAATGGACTGATCCGTCAAACCGTGCCAACTGAACTCACGGAAGG